CGAGTCGGGAAAATGTAATGGTGGGGAGAGAGAGAGAGAGGGGACTAGTTGCTGCCCAGCTAAATCTAAAGGAAAAAAAAATACTGGAAAACAGGAAAACTCAAAGCTCAAAGCAACGCGGTGCTGGAGGGATCGGTGACGTACTATCAACCTCCATCAACATTTTAGTTGACAATGGCGGAAGGTCAAAGAGAACAAAAAACAAAAAAACGAAGGAAAATGAAAAGAAAAGCAATGTGAGGGGGACTGGGAAATTGCTCTGATTTTTTTCCAATTGAATATTTCAATTTGGGCTTGAAATAAATGAGAGCAGGGAGAGACTAAGGAAATTCGCAGGAAAATTAAATGTTAAAAGGGAGATGCACAGAATTTGGAAAAATAAGGATAAGGTTTTTGAATGCTTAAAGGGAAAAGAAATTTATTTTTCTTGAAAAAAGATAGTGTAAAGTCGGTTTTTATTTATATATTTATTTATAAGAAACAATTATTCGTATTAAAAAGATATAAGTAAGGTGATTTTTATCTTGTCAAGTTAATTATAGTTTAAAGGCTTAAGACTTCTAATTTCTGTTGAATTTTATAGTAAATTGTAAAGATATTTTTCTTCATACTAATAAACAATATATCAATAATTTTCTTATGCTTCAAGGTTTAAAATTAAAGTCAATTTCAAGCTTAGAATACTTAAAGCTAACAACATGGAAACCCTGAGTTTCCCTAGGATATCTTCATTTATTTATTAAATGCATTTCTTATAGAATTCTCACTCAATTGGTGCACCTAGTTTTTGCCCCCATTTTCCTCTTTTAAATCTGAACTTCATTTAATGTAATCCAATTCCCAGGACCAAGAACGCTTTGCTTTACCACCCCTCAGCTCTTCTTCAATTTGTCATTTATTTTCCGCTTTATTTCTTTGCCCGTCCTCCTGTGAAGCTCAATAAATACTTTTCCTTAATGTAAAACAAAATTTAAATATTTCAATTGGGAATCCCCTTTTCCTTTTCCTTTCCCTGTTTATTTTTTTCTTGTTGGCTGGCAACTTTTCCCCACTTTGGAGTATATTTTATGGTATTATTTTTATTTATTATTGGCTTGTCTGCGGCCTTACTGCCTTGCCGCCTCTCCTTTCGATTGTTGTAAAATTTTTTATTTATATTTATTTTGCTTTATTTTGTAAATGTATATATCTATATATTTTTTGTATCATATTTCATATTCCTGACATAATGCGCACCTGATGCCCAGGCCAATTGGCCAAAAACATTTTGCGGTGCCGTCTTCAAATATCTTATGGCCACCACCCCAGATATTTTCTGATTTTGCCTTGCTTGCTGTTTTTTTTTTTTGGGTTTTGGTTTTGGGTTTTGGATTTTCACTGAGAGCTTTTCAGCGCGAACATTAGCGGGATTCTGGTTTCTGAGCAGAGGAGTGGAGAGGAGGTGGTGGTGGGTGGAGTGTGCAATAAATCCAGATCCGAAATGATTTTCGAGGGGGAAGCTGGATTGGATCGTTAGGCAAAATGACGCCCCGCCATGGCCACAGGCCCCCTTCCCCCCTCTTCCATTTCAATTTCAAGTTATGACGACGTTCTAGTTGCCACATTTAGAGATGGGAAAAAGTTGGTGGTATGTTCATAAGGTTTTGATATATATTATAGAAAATAATAATCAAAATCAACTATTGATTTCGTTGTCTTAAACCTTTAATCATTATACTCTTGTGTTAGTGATACATTAAAAGGGTTTCTAATATGTAATATAAACTGATATTTGATATATGTATATAATACAATAATAAAAGTAATAATAAAAGTAAAAGTAATAAAAAATATAAGACTTTGTATACTAACACGATACCCAGTTAATGATTCATTATTTATTCTACTTTTTTGTATACATTTATTATATTTTATTAATGTTTTGTGACATATCACACTCCGATTATTAGTAATCACAACAAATATCGATAAATTCGATAACATTTGATGTATCGCTTGCCCATCACTAGTTCCTGCCCCTTCCCCTTGCACCTGTTTGTGGCCATTTTCGAAAATGGCTTTGGCAATTTCTTGGTCGCCGCGTAATGAAAACGGACAGGTGTGCACGGCCTGGCCGAAAAAACCACCCACCAGGTGAAAGTCCACCCCTCGCCGCCCCTCCTCTTTCTAGACCTCCTTTTGATATGCGTAACTTTTCATTTGCGTGGCAAAATGTCGCAGATGACGATGGGCCATGGACTTAGATGTCCATGTTGATGATAGGTCTGTCATTGTGGGGATTTTTGTAGAACTATATCTTGTATTTAATAGGAACTTGAATGGTTAAGGAAATATCTGAGGTGGGATTTTATTCTCAGAGAATTTTTAAAAGGTCATAACTAGGCTTACAATTATCATATTCTTTGCATCAATATTTATCAAGGTTATTATATGAAAATTCGAAGGCAAATTAAATCTTAAAAATCTCATAACTAAGCCAAAAATGCTTTAATTTCAATTCGAAAAGCTGTCCGAAGTTAGTTTTCAATAGATTATGAAATCTGCATACTCAGTTTCAATTTTAAAAAATTACAATTTTTATCAATTTTTTTCGACAATTTTACTGATAAAACCCCTTATAAAATTTCGAAAAAATTTACTTAATTGTTTTTTCCCAAAAAATAGCTAGAAAGATTCGTTAGTCGATGCTGATCAAGAATATATATGATTTATAGGGTCGGAAATGACTCCTTCACTTTTTTTCAAGTTTCTGACTTAAATTAGAACCCTGCAAGGGAATAAAATTCTGTGGTAGCTATGATAAGAAAGCAATCAGTTAAAAACTTTAACATATACATAACATATTTTATTTGTAATAAATGTTATACATATTAAAATTATAATTTATTTACTAAAAATCGTAGTACTCGCAGGCCTTAAATATTTCTAACATTACATATTCAATTAAGTTCAGTTTTCAGTATTTTCCGCTTAATTAAAATACCTTACATTTTGATGACAATTTATTTAATTTTCAACTGGTTTTTATTTTTTGTTGTTTTTTTTATTTTTTATCATTATTTTTTTTATTGCCCGATTGCGAGTGCATTTCATCTTTGACAAGTTTTGTTGGCTGCCTTTTGCATTGGGCTTTCCTCTTTTGTTTTCCATTTTCTATTTGCAATTTTTCTCATTTTGTTGTTGTTGTTGCTATTGCAATTTTCCTTTTTTGTTTTCTGTATTTTTCTTTGTTGGTGTATATTGTTGTTGTATTTTCTTTATTGTTGTTGTTGTTTCTTTTGCAATTTTGTGCGCCTAAGCTTGGCTGGCGTGCGTGAGCTTTTGTGTGTGAAAACAGGTTTCACTGATTTTCAATTTCAATTGTCTGCCACAGGCATGTATATATATATTTATATATATGTGTGTGTGTGTGAGAGTACCCCTGTGTGTGTGTCTGTGTGTGTGTGTCTATTTTGTGCCATTTTTATTTGCGCACATTAGCAATTTCTTTTGTTGGCTCGTTGGCAGCATCGTCGTCGTCGTCGAGCCTACTCCTCAATCTGACCTAACCGCATGACCCACCGCCCTCTCTAAATCACCCACCACCCACCTCCTCCCACAGCACCCACACCTCCCACTTATTGTTATTATGGAGGGGCAGTATAAGAAGGTGGAGGAGGAGCTTTGCTTTTTTTCCACTTTCCATCGAGACGATGTGCGTGATTTTCCACTTGCGCCCGTACGCTTAACCTCTCGATTATTATTATTTTATTGCTATTGTATGTGATTGTTGCTCATCTTTTTAATACCTTATTTTTTATATACACTTTTATAAAAGCATCTAGGTTTTATTTATTTATTTTTTTTGTTCTTCAATTTAATGGAATTTGTGAAATGTTCTATTTTCTTTTACATTCGAGGGAAGCACTTGATGTGGTAATCTTATTAAAGAAATTCTACGAAAATTATTTGGTATAAGAACAAGTTATAGTACGAAATTAATTAAAAAGAAAATTTATAAATGATAGTTAATAAAAACATGGAAAATATATAAATAAAGTAAACAATCAATGGACTTTGCATAAATAATAGTAAATAATTTTATAGAAAATATGCAAACTCTCTACCAACTAATCGCACAGCATTTAATAATTGGAAAAATACTCTAGGAAAACATTTTGCTAACTTTTCCCTACTTATTTTCTCATTTTCGTATTTTCTTTTCTACTTTTTCTTGCAGAACTACAGTGGAAACTCCACAGGACATGCAAATTTCCCTATCAAACGAGGGAGCTAGCAACAATCAGCGTGCTGCCATCTCCCTTGCACCATATTAATTTTTATTTTTCAAGTGTCTGAGAAAAAAAGAGGAAATACATGCAAAAAAAAAAAAATACAGAAAATTTATATAAAAAGAAAATCGCGGGGCGAGAAGGAGAAAAGTTTAAAGACGGCGAAGGCAAAAGTTCACATAAAGCAGCCGAAAAAAGTTTTTCAATTATTGTAAAAAGTGTTAAAAAGATAGGCACAGACCCGTGAGCGAGAAAAGGAGAGAGTGAGTGTGTGTGAGAGAGAGAGAGAGATGGGGCTGTTGCGAGCAAGCGAGACAGCCGACAGTTATCTTTCATAAAATAAAAAAAAGTTCGGGCAAAAGAGCAAACGGAATTTTAAATTTAATTAATTGCTCTTTGAAGTGCCTACGGCCACGCCTACGATTTACCAAAAAATTAAACGCGTTAATTTTTCGCTTATTTCATTAAAGCAGCCGCCAACCTCCGAGAAAATATATACACCTATATATATATAAATAAAAAGATATAGAAAGAGAGATTGAAGAAACACCAGCCGAGTGTTTTTGGGTTTGCCACCCCCCTTGAAAAAACCAAGGAGACTCCATAAACCGGACTCCCTTAAAACCACACCAACAATTAAATAAAATCCAATCAAAAAAAAAGAACAACAACAACAAAACATAGGCTGCTGGTCATAAGGAGCGGAGGACGAGCCGCCACTGAACCAGGATGAATCCGACGCCCATGGGCATGGGATTCGGATTTGGTCGCAAGCCGCCCAACAAGGCCAAAATGCGTTCTCGCTGGCGACCACCGCTGCCGCTGTCCCGCCCCATTGACAGCGAGGAGCAACATCCCGCAGCAGCCACTTTAGGCAGTCAAATGGATAATCTGGAGGAGCAGCACCTACAGTCCTGTTTGCCAATTAATGCCACACAACAACATAATCATAATCAGCCTAGGCAACAGAAGCATCAACGTCACCAGCATACCCAACAGCAGTTGCAACAGCAGCAACACTTGCAACATCCACAGCAGCAGCAGCATCATACTGGACGCAGCCAGATGACAACCCTGGCTCTGCTGCTACTGGCCCTTGTGGCACTTAGCAACCTGGAAACCCTGCTCGCCGTGCGAACCGAAGGACCACGCAATCGTCATGGATCACCAGGTGAGTTTTGAAAGCTATAATAATTAAATGAGAATTAAATTTGACAATTTTTATCATTTAAATTTAAATGTTAATTAAACAAAATACTCAAGGAGCCTTGAAAGGGTCCTTGCTCTCTTGAAACTACTTTAAAAATCCGTTGGCATGTTCTCTCTCTTACTGCAAAACTGATTTTCCCTTATACATATATTGATTAGCACTTTATGCCGGTTAATTAATAAACAAAGCAATGCCCATGTCCGTCTGTCCGTCAGTTTGTCCGTCAATCAGTCAGTCAGGAGACTGCTCCCCTCCCACATCATTTCCACACACACACATCATTATTATTTCCCAGCGCATGTGTGTGTGTGTGTGTGCGGCGGTAACTGTTCGTGTCACTTGAAAATCTCGCCCGCAGCATGACCAACATTTTCAGTTTTCCCCTCAAACCCTCAGACCCTCTCAATTTCTATAAAAATTATGAACGCCCCGGGAAGACAATCGAAAGAAAGCAGCCCAGGCAGTCAGCCAGCAACCAGACCAAGAAAAAAAGCAAAAAAAATAATAATAAATAAAAACAACCAACAAAAAATTTATAAAATTACAAAAATCGTTACAGACCAAAAACAAAAATAAACCCAGACAAAAAACCAAAATAACAAAGCTTGCAAAACAAAAAAAAACCAAACCGAAATGAGGAAAATAACAAGTGAAGAGGGGGGAAAAAGAGAGCGGAGACATAATGGAGGGCGAGAAAAAAAGGAAATCCCTCGCCGCATTTCCCGCAAATTCTTCGCGGCAAAAGTGCGCCAAGTCGTTGGCTTTTGATTTCTACTATTGCCAGCGAAAATTACAGGGTATCAGGGTAGCAGAAAAGAGAATGTTGAAAATAACTTTATAGTAATATATTTAAATAACAATAATAAAATTAAAAAAGATTTAAAAGAGTTTGAAGAAGCCGAAGAGTAATCAAAGATATATGCTTAAATTAAAAAACAATTTTTTTGTAACTCTTCTTTAACAATAAAGGAAACTGACCTCAAAAAGACGAAGTTAATAAACAATTGCAGCTTGCATATTAATTATAAGAATTATAGAATTAGAAAAATATTCGCTTTTCTTCAACCTTAATTTTCGAAATTTTTATGACTATTTTTGTAGACTAATTATATCTTATAAATCTCATAACTCAGTCAAAATAGCATTATTTTGAATTCGAAAAGCTGTCCTACGTTAGTTTAATAAGTCTGCATACTCTATTAAAATTTTTAAAAAATTAAAATTTTTATACATTTTTATTTTTAATTTTAACGATGAAACCCCCTGAAAATTTTTGAAAAAAATTATTAAATTTTTTTTGCCAAAAAATAGCTAGAAAGATTCGTTAGTTGATGCTGATCAAGAATATATATAATTTATAGGGTCGGAAATGACTCCTTCACTGTGTTTCATGCTTCTGACTGAAAATATAATACCCTTGGAATGGTATAAAAATAATATTAATAACAGACTCTAGGGTAACCCCTAGTCTGTATAATCTCCCTCTTCGTATTCCTACTTGTTTGTAGTGTGATTATTGTTGTTGCTGCTGTTAGTGCTGCCAGAAATTATGAATCAGGAAGTCTTAATAAGCGCAATTTCAAGTCGTTAGTCACACAAAATAAAAAGGAAAACAACAAAAAAATGCTGGAAGCTCTTCTCCAGCCACGTCTTTGCCAGTACTCTGGATTCTTACTATATTTTCAGTTGCTGCTAGTACACACACAGTCATAAATATATATACATACATAAAGATATATACGTCCAGGCTATTAGCGCCTGTATGGTGGGTAATACTTTATATATGGGGGCGGTCATTTTGCAGTTGTTGTCGTTGATTTTAATTAAGTGAAACGTTTTAATGTGCGCCACAGATTTTTCAGATTTTCTGCCCTTGATGCAGGCGGTCCAAAATGGAGAGGGGAGGAGGTCAGGGCGGAATTTCATGGGCAACTATACTATTTATTGTGTGTAGAGGGAAAAAATGAAGAGAGAAATAGAGAAATGTTTCAACAGTAAATGTCAAGACAAGCGATCAAATTGCTTATTAAAGCAAATGAAAAATGGTCAGGAGAAGGGAGGCGGGGGCAGAGAAGTTTCCACGGAAAATTTGACAGAGAAAAAAGCATTTAAGTATGAAAAAGAGACAAGACTATGATATACCCGGTAAGTAGGGTACTCGAAGAATAGCTCAAAGATTAAGATAATTAAAGATTTAAAGATGCAAGATAATATATATAAATTATTTAAGTAAAAGTGCATATATGTAGATAACCTTACTTTAAGCTATTGCTGGGTATTAAAACGATAAGAGCTTGATAAATGTCTAGCCTTGGTTGAGTAAGCTATTTTAAGCCTCCTTTCATAGACTTGTCAGAGTTGGCTAAGACCTGCGGCTTAGTCAAATGCCAGGATAATCTAATCTAAAGCGACACCCCAGAGGTTTACTTGTATTCTTTTTTACAATTTTCCTAACAAATATTTATTACAAAAGATACAAAAATGAATAATGTAGTTGAATAATAAATATAAGCTTTAGAATATGTTTAATAGTAGCGATTCCTTTTTATATTATATGAGAAAAGCTATCATATATAGCTTGAGGAACTAGAAATCTTTCTGTTTTAGTGAATTTCCTATATATCTGCCTTGATGTCTTATGCTAATTGGATATATTATACAATCATGGACCCTGGACTCTGTGTTAAAGTCATGTGACAAGCATGACGAACCATTAAGGTTGCCCCATACCCTAACCCCTTTTCTCTACTAACTCCCTCACTCTATCTCTCTCTCGCTGTCGCGCCGTCTCTCTTTCTCTTTGATAAATCTGAGATATATATATATATTTTTTTATATATAAAAGTGTGTAGTGTAGTAAAAGAAGAGGGGTATAGTGGGGATAGTGCAATTGCAATACAAAGTCATTTAATGCAATTTGCTGATTGCGCTTTGTTGCTGTTGATGTTGTTCCCTGATTTACCTTTTGACATTTGAGTAGTGTGTGTGGTTGTTGCTGTTGTTGTTGTTGTTGTTGCTGACAATGCAAGTCTCTCACAGTGTGACGCACACTTCCGCAACCCTCGTACCCAGCACCCTGTAACCCCCTGGCACTCTTTTTCTGGTTACCAGACCCTTACCCTTTGGCGGGTTTTCCCCCCACAAGCAAAAGTGCAAAAGCCAAAGGCAGAAGAAATGGCTTTAATGGCATTTAATAAACATGACACAAACACACAACATTTTCAGGAAAACGGGCTGGGAAGGAGGCTAGGCTAGGCTAGGTTAGAGGGGGAGAGGTGTATCTAAGGGGGCCTTAACAACCGGCAACCGGATTCAAATTCCAGTTTCAATATGACGCTGACTCTGTTGCTGCTGCTGTAGATGTTGCTGCTGCAGAATGCAGCTCCAAAGTTGCTGCCGATGTTTTGAAGGAGTCGCTTGCCTCATCATAACCATCATTATGATTCTAATCATCATTGGCATCGGGCATCATCATGGCGATTATTATGCATTATCATCATCACGAATGTGCTAGTTACAGAGTGACACCCATTTCAATGCAATGAAATGCAATGCAACGCACTGCCAGCGAAAAGCATTGCAGTTGACGACTAAAACGATGATGTTACTTGACTACCAACTTTCTAATACCCTATACCTAAAGGGTCGGGTTTTAATATAAAAAAAAACTATAAATCTCAGTTCAATGACTAGCAGCAAGGTTAGGGTATAAAATTCTGCGAGTTTTCTGGTCCAAAAAGGAGCTTAATTTTGCTAACTGAACACACACAGAGAATTCATTTATTTATTTTCTATAATTTCCTGTAAGCCTTAATTCAAAAGTCATATATAATTTATTTACTTCATTTAACACTTACTTATTTCCTTACTTAACTTATTGGTTTATTAATTTGAAAATCAGATTTTATCTTAGGCAGAGAACTTGCCACTTCGGTGTTGCCCTTCTTTATTTCGCTTGTCTGTTGCTCGCTTTCAGTTGCTTGTTGCTGTTGTCATTTGGCCTTTAATCACAGACGACGGCAGCAACATCATCAGCAGTACAACCAGCAGCAGCAGCAGCAGCAGCATCTGCAACTGCAACTGCGACGGCAGCAACATCAACGGCAACCGCAGCATCAGCACCACCAAAGCCACTGCCACTGATGCAGCTTCTTCTTTCACACACACACTCGCTAAATACACTCGCAGAAATACGCACACACAAAGGCAGTGCTGGCCGGTGGGTGGCTGTTGACCGCAAAGTTAATTGCAGTGTGTGTTGCACTTGCCTTTTGTTGCTGCTGTTGCTGTTGCCGTTGCAGCCTTTGCTACTGCTTCTGTTGCTGCTGCTGCTGCCGCCTTATGTTGCTGCTGTTGCGGTCGCTTGGTCCGTTGCGGGCAAATAACTTTGCTAATACTTTGACCAGCCCAAAAGGCACTTGGCAAACTTTGCCACCACAGGCAAAGCACACACAGGGGCTTACACTGACACAAACAAGGTAGAAACAAAGGCCTACACTGCCACAGAAAAAGGGAGAAATAAAGGCGAAAAAAATACTAAGAAAAAGCAGAAAACAAATTCATAGATACTTGTGTTGTTGATTAAATAATCAACTTATTTAAGCAGTTTAATAGTAATATACTGGTAAAGTATACTTGAAATTTAATTTGCTTTTTAAAAAATATTATTTCTCAAGGAAACATCTATATATTTCAGTCTAGATTGAACCATTTACATGAACGCTGCTGTCCGACTTTCGCCCGACAGTTTGGCAACCGTTCAATGCGAAACTGTCGCGGCCATTTAAATTCCATGCCAATGTCAATAAATATGTTCATTGGTGTATATTCCCGGTCCCGCTCGTTGCATCTAGCCAGATCTAGCTACCTCTCTTTCTCTCTTTCTGTCCCTCTCTCTCTCTCTCTCTCTCGGTCTGTCTGTCCCTCTCTCTATACCACCTTGGCGGGGGCTCAGGTGAAAC